TGCTGTTGACAATGTCGGGTTTTCTACCGAAATTGAGTAGGAATATTTCATGTCATCGGCATGTCGCAGCCTGTCTGGTGCCGGCCCGTATTTCAGAATTATTGGCGTATAAATATCACGCTTAGTTACGTATTCCGTGAAAGCTCGAAAGGATTACTTCTTTTTTTCAAATCACATTTTAGCAATTGCTGAAATTGTAATCTTTGCTTCGGTTACATGCTTAGAATATTCAGAAAAGCTTATATAATATGATAAATATATTTATATTTATATTTACGAATATTTTCAATGGTGGTATCTGTTTTAAGACTCCCAGGCTCTTGAATGCTCTATCAATCTATAATGAAATTAATAAATAAATACACCCGATATTAATCGTGTTATGTAGATGAGCAATATGAGTTCTAATCTAACAAGCTTTGGATGAATTAACCGATGGACGCTAACAACCTTCTAATTGTCGCAGTAAAATAAATAAAACCGTAATATAGTTATATCCCTAGAGATATAATTATATGCTGTAACATTTTTACACGAAAGTGATTCATTACTATCTTAATTCAGCAATCTAATAATATGTTTATGTGACTAAAGTAGTCTAGTTAAGTAGTTATAAGTTTCCATAGAATCAAATAAAAAAATTGTGTGTGTCAGCTTCGACGCACGACTGGGGTTTACTCCTTAAGTTCGATTGTCTAACCAGACGCAAAAACAAGTTTATTTAACGTAATAAAGATTTATACTGTATGAAAGGGGAAATTAACAAATTAATGAAAATAATATACATATATAAATATATATTTATTCATTTCATATACATTTATTATAACTATTCGACGAAATATTTTACATTAAAATTTTTACAATAGTCAATTTCAGATGTGCATAAATATATCATTAGGAATGTTGATAAATTATGTAATTATTATTATCAGACTATTATCATTTTTTTAAATATTAATTAAGTCAACATTGTCTGCATTATTAATTACAGTGACAAGTGGTTTATGGTAACTAAAATAAGACACATGGACGTTCGTAGATACGTGGTTCACGAATCTTGAAAATACCGCATCAATGGTTGTACCATACCTCGTTGTCCCCATTGCTCTATCAGAATTAATATCTAAATTCAGTTCAGATTTAAAAAAAAATATTAATGTCAATCCGTCATCTTTGTTTGTCAAAGTTGCGCGACATAGGATGCGCACCAAAAACGTAACGAGGTCATTCATCGATAGATTAAATGTACTTAAATATACTTATATATGTATATATACATATATAAGTATATTTAATTTACATATTAAACATTCATGACTAGAGTACAAATGCTCGTGTTCACCACACAAACATCTTCTCCCACCCGGGATTCGAACCCGGAACATCTCGAGTTGGCGACACCTTGAAACCCGGCGCACAAACCACTCGGCCACGGCATCGTCAAATAAAACAATATATTGATTTTTATTATAAAACTAGTGGCCCGCCCTCGCTTCGCTTCGGTGTAGAGCTGTAGTGTAGACTAAAATGCCTCTTCATATAATTATAAAAAAAAACTGAAAATGGTATATTTGCCTTTTTCAAACTTCTATTGACATCACGTCACTCAATTGTTTTGCCTTCCTGGAAACTCTCCACTAACATTTGAAATTTATGGTATGGTATTAAAGTTCAAATTTACTTTGAAGTATTATTACGAATCGTTTGTATGGGAAAACTGTTGTTTTTGGACTTTATAGGCAATTTTTCTCTGCGTAAGAACCATCCTCGTATTCAAGGAATATTTTAAAAAAAGAATTATCGAAATCGGTTCAGCTGGTCTCGAGATTTGCGCTTAGCAACACATTTAGCGATTCATTTTTATAATATAGAAGATGAACTTTTTATAACATGTATTTAGTTACAATACTTTTTGCAATAATACGTGTCGTAAAGTAATTATTATTATTACTAAAAATTATGGGGATCCTACTTTGCATTTAATCATAAACAAAACGATTGCGAAAAAAAAAAATTACAAAAACTTAGTGTTTGTTAAATACTTAAAACTAATCAACAGTTTTTAGACTTTTTGTTCTGACAAGGCACTAAATCATGAGATCTACACTCTTACCATTAATTCGCTAGACTGAACCAAGTAATATAATAAAATCACTAAACTTGAACCATTTTATAATGATATTCTTAGTAAGATAGAAATGAATCGCTTTACTGTGGGAATGGCGAATTACTGTGGGATCGTTTAAAATAGAACTCTAATGATGGATTGCATCATCGTGTTGGATAGTTTACTATCATACAACCCACACCCTTGCCCCCTTATTAATAAACGAACACTTAGCTTAGATTAGTTACTCTAGGTTTTGTCTGTGTTCATTGAATGACAAATGGCACTTGAGTAATATGAACAAAACACGGCGTAACTAGTCGAAGCTTATTCCTCGTTTATTAATAATTTGATTGAAATCTATTACGTGGTTCGTATTCGTCTGTAATTCGTGGAGTTGTCCGCAAAAATTAAATTTGGAACGTATAGAATAATGCTCATCATCATCATGATCTTTCAAATAACATGCCAATACATCGTCAAATTAATAAAACCTCTTTCTTGTAATATTCATTGAAGTAGAAAAAAAAAATCTAGTGTCCGTTTTTAAATATTGTGTCTGATACTTTACCATCATATTACCTTTTACATTATTACCTTTGGAATCTATAACGAGATTTGTGTCTGTCTGTATGTCTGCACGAAGTTGTTAGTTTTTTATTATTTTACTTCTGATTCAAGCCTAGAAACTTGGTCATATAGTAATATGTGGTAGCTAAATCCGAATCTGCGGTCAGATTATTAAATATTTTTTTCTGAAGCCGAATTTGATATGAGATCAAATTTTAAAGATTTCCGAGGTCCGATTCCGAAGACCTACATGCTATGATATCATAACATAAACTATCAAACACCCCGGATTCGCACGACAGTCGCTAATTCATGGTGTAATTTAAGGATATATCCTTGTGTTTTAAGTTGATTTTCAGGCATTGATTTCTATGTAGTTTCTAAAATCCATACATTATATGCCCAAATTTTAACAAAAGGTCGAAGACATATTATTATTTATCTCTTACGAACTTAATATGTATTTAGGTATGTAAGTACATACTTATATATATATAGTACTTCACGGTGCTACATCTCAAAAACAGACGCAACTCGATATGGGGGATTTCACTAATACCCTTTCAGGATTTGAAAACTCTTATCGAAGATTGGTACTAGAGCCTACGCTTCGTATTTGTCATAAAGTAACACTCGCTGATGGAATAGCTATATAGATCTGTTTATCACAAAAAGCTTTCTGAGAAAAGTACTAAGCTTTCATAGTCAAACATTTCGGTCGGTACCTGATGAATTAATATATAGGTAAGTAATATGAAACCTAACCATCGTCTATAAAACTATCGAGAAATACCGTATGTGAGTACAATTAAACTTATGCCCTTTCTTTTTATGATCGATCTTGGAACTACGATTCAAAATAGTAAGCCTATCAAGCAACACTCCAAAATATGATTAATGACAATAATGTATTTATTTTGATTGCAAAGTGACGTTGAGTGTAATTTCATCAGTTTACCAGTAGCCGATAATGGTCTCATAAATATTTCAGAAATTTCACATACTGTCACAAATCATTTTAACAAGCTTAGGGGCGAAAATAGTAATGAATAAAATATGGTTTCACATTTGGATTCAGAGTTTATCTACGACCTCATTCTGTTACTACGACGATCATATATTATATCAGTTGAGATTGTGATGATTATTTGCTATGATGATTTATATTAGTTCAAGATCCCGCCGCTCGATATATACTCATTTGTTTTTAATGACACATTTTAAATGAATAATAAGTGAGTATACACGGCATTAGTAACGGGTTGAGTAAAAATTATTGCAAATACCATTAATTAAATTCAATAACATCCATTTATTTTTGTAACTTGCATCCGTATGATTTTTTAATTAATTCCACGACATCTGAAAAGAAATTATGTAAAAGAATTAAAAATAGTTGTCAGCTTTCAATCAGCCGCAACTTTAGGGTTAACAGGTGTAAACAGGTACATTTATGTTTATTATTTGAGAGTGGTTAAGTGGCTGCAGAATCGAGTGTGGGATCTTGGACTAGTACTTCACATGAATATTCGTAATTGGTTAAATTGGATAGCAGTGTATCCAATACACTGCTATCTAATTTAACATTATCAATAATGAAAAGGAGACGCTGCTGTCAAATTTAATTGAGCAAATACCAATGATATGAAATACCCTAGAGATACACCACGTGCGATCAAAATTTGTTTGCACTTCTTGGTTTACAGTCACGCGCAGACCGTTGAAAAGTCAAGATGCCACAAAGCTCAGTGAAAAAATGCAAAAATATACTTATAGAACGTAAAGTGGCATTTTTTTCGACAGGTACCTTATCAATGTTTTTTTATTTAACGCATTTGAAGCAAAAATTTTTTCTAATTCTTACTATAAACTGCCAACTTTTCCTCTTTTTTTTTCTCGCAGTCCGTACCTGCTCTATTGGTCACAGCACTCACAGTGCATTCGGAAGTGCGCATAGAGTCAAATAAATAAGGTCTATATTATTATTATTATCTATATTAGTTATGCATATACTGTCATAACTCTTTGATTTAAATAAGACTTTATACAGTATGCATTAACGGAGACTTTCAATGTTTAAAAAAAGTGCCATCTTACGGAGCTCCGTGGATCGTCTAATGTACTTTTGGGACAGGTTATGTTTGTTTTTGGTTTTAAAATGTCGTTGGCAAATACGAATGAACGAACGAAATGTGAAGTGCCAGCAACACAGTTTAGTATTAATTTTACTTGGCTTTTAAATAATACGTCCGTTTATTAATCAATGTTACATAGCTGAAATGAGAACCACAATGGCGGAAGTATAGAGCACATTTCGGCTGCGATCGTTGAAGTTAAGCAACTCTCGCAGGGTTCAGTCATTGAATGTGTATATGCATATGTGCATCGGAAGGCACGTTAAGCCGTTGGTACCGACTCCATCTGCAGTCGTTAGCACCCATCAATTCTTACTTGGCCTGCATGGTGAGTCATGGCCCAATCTCTCTATTCTATCCATATGAAAGGCCAGGGCCCCAGCAGTGGAGACATTAATAGGCAAATGATGAATACTCTAGATATTTCACAGTATATAATTTTATATCGTTACCTCTACCTTTAAGATTTAAAAAATCTCTTATTGAAAACAATATTTTTTGTTGAAGATTCACTTTTTTTATTTAAAATTATCGTAACAATTGTATCATTTTATAAGTAGCAGTGTCCGGGCCTTATCCAGCCAATCGGATCGTGCCACGTAGCTACCGCACAACACTCTCGTGCCTGTAAACGCGGTCCTGCCATGCAGAACACGGAAGTTGTCCATCACCATGACGGTGCCTGTTAACGAATAAACAAAACATAAGAACACAAGGACAAAGTGCGCTAATTTACTTAAAAGAGAGCAAAAATCTTAAAATAATAAATGATAATGGAAAGTCTAAAAAGTGACGCTTCAGGTGCTACCTAGACTTCAGATTTAGAAAGGTATCTATAAGAATAAAAGGGTTTCTCTATAATCATTTTCGAATTTGTTTTACCTGGACTGAGCTTGAATTTCCACTCATTGGCCTGATCTTGATAGTAGCGAGCGAGGTTCCTCAGGGAGCGATAGTACGACCGGCATTGCTCACTGCTGCCAAATGCCATCGCCGACCGGTCGTAAACGTTGTATCTGCAATATATTTTTTAGACTTACTTTTATCTGAAACTTTACTGCTCCGATATGCTTTTGATTTATGATGTACTCAAGGAGTAAAAAAATCTTTACAGGATTTGTAAAAAAATGAGCTTTTATAGATTCTAGAGTTTTGAAGAATATTAACATCTTCTTTTCGTTTAATAATTTTCATATACAGTAGAATCCGTTTATTATGACTCCGCCTGTATAGACCAACCGCTTATTATGAAGTGATTATACAGCGAAGTTTGATTTTCATATAAAATTCCTTATAAAAGTCGTAGTAAATAGTGACATGTCGTTAATTATGACCCATTTTTAATAAATTGTGTCCTATTATTGTAACCGACATGATTCCTTTCCTTCTGCAGTGTACGGGAGAGAGACCGTCACGAGATATCCGACGACGTTCGACGGGTGCATGGCTTTTTGTTTAGTTTCGAGTCTCAGTGGGTAATTGATAGCGTAGGTCGCGCATTGTTCGTTAGTAATTTAACGTGTACCAATTTAATAAAACAGAAGATTGTTTATTTTCTTCAAAACGCTTTGTATGACGTGTTTGTTATTTCCCTTCGATGTCATTATAAACGGATTCCACTGTACCTACTTTTATTGAATCGATACCAACATATACATCACCTTATTTGAACAAGATCTTTGGTTCTATTGTCAATATTGATAACAGGTCCAGAAAATTTGTGGTGATAATTTTCTTCTAGATATTCAGCTTCCAAATCAAAGGTTGTTAGAAACTCGTAATCTTCAGGTGAGCTTTCTTTCAGTCTCGTGGCACCATAGAAACCATCAACTAAAATAGTTTCACCACCAGTACCGTTCGAGTGTTCAAGGCAATGCAGAATTTGTAAACTGCAAATCAAAAATATTATCTGAATGTTAATACCTAAAATAATAAAAATACGGTGGAAACGCGGCAATCCGGACCTGGTCTAATCCAGCGCCCCCTGTAATCCGACACGCCAATCTTTATTGATTATTATAAACATCAATCCACATATATTTTTATATACAATTATGTTATTAATTTTGTCAGATTACGACGCACTCTTATTAAAAAAAAAAGGTAAATTTAAAAAATCAAAAATCCCGACTGCTTAGTTATACTTCAAATAAAAACTGAAAGGAAAAAAACAAGTCCAGTAGTCTATAATTCTGTTAATAAGGAACAAAGCTACATTAACAGTCGGGACCCATTAGATATTTAAGAATACATAATATTTTTCAACAGTGAGTCCCGACTGTTAAAGTAGCTTTGTTCCTTATTAACAGAATTATAGACTACTGGACTTGTTTTTTTCCCTTTCAGTTTTTATTTGAAGTATAAACAGCAGTCGGGTTTTTTGATTTTTTAAATTTACCTTTTTTATTTCACACTTTTTAGTGAGTTAGTATTTTAAGACGGTATATACCGTAGTCTTGTTACTTCGGTAAGGGAATTAATATCGCGGGAATTATTAAGTACCTTGCGTCGGTCTAAAAGATTGATTTATTAAGACATATAGAGACTTACCAGCGGGGTCAAGGCTACAGATGGCCTCAATTTTCGCAAAAATGTGTGAAGTTAAATCAAGTTGTTACATACAACTAGAACTTACTCAAAAAGTCATCTTTTGTTTATGTTTTTTTTTAATAGTTTAGCAGTAAATATAAAATTAATTTACTTTTATTCGTCGACTATTTAAAATTGGCAGTGGCTGCATTGTCATGTCAATGCCGGACGTCTAAGATTGTGATATACACAAATGCAGTGTCAGTCCCTAGTCTCATAATTTGATATACCTACATTTCACAGAAACCCAATATGTAGATGCCAGAAGTTAACTTCAAATGTTTTAATCACCCTATATACAATACCAATCAATGACGTTTATGTCGCAGGTTGAAGAAAGCAGTAATTCCCGTTTGTTGTGTTGGAAAATGGTGGCAACTGCCTTAGATCACTAAATTAAATAATTATGCAATCACCAAAGCAAAGTTTATAATATTTGATTAAACTAAAGGCGCATAATAAAATTTTCATAACGTTAGGTAGAGCACCATAGCAATCTCATTTATTATCAATTTATAGTTCTCTTTGTAGTTTTCTTTTAAAGCGTTCACATATAACAGGTCAAAGACTTTGTGATCGACCCTTTTTTATTGGTAGTGTAAAGCTCGAATAAAGAGCTCCTAGTAGGGCAATCATGGCAATTATTTTCCATTTTTTTTTTGTTTAAAAAAATACCGAATAACGTATCACTGTTAAGCACAAATGCTAAGTAACTTTTACAAATATAATCAAATTATTGTTAGTGCTTCGTATAGGATCAGATACTGCGAATAGCCCATTTTTTTTCTTTTACATAGTACACCGCGCTATCACTTTGTCATCGTTGTAACTTTTTAAATATTTGTCGAAATGACATAGTGTAAATAGCAGAGTTTATCGTCTTTAAATATCAAAAGCGATAAAAGTATTTGTTTCGATAAAAAATGATTTGTTAATACAAAATGTGCATTTTGGAAATAGATATCAAATAATATTTTAGTTTTGATTCACTATTTTAGCGGACTTACACATTAAAAATAGATATATGGTGTCACGAACTTTTTTTAGAACTATTTAAGAGATACATTTTCACTCTACATTACATTCATGTAACTTTTATTGTTTTTGCAATGCAGGCCAAAATGGCTCGCAGATGGAAGATTTTTTTCCGTCTTATGTGACACTTATTGTTTTATATTGGCCAATAACTACATAAATTATTATATATATGTAATTATCATATATGAGCTATATTACTCGCAAGTTTCATTAAAATCCATTCAGTATTTTTTAGGTGAAAGAGTAACAAAGATCCATACAAAAGTAAGAATGAAATTAAAAGCATAAGTGGTTAATATACAACTTTAAAGCGTTGTAGATCCTAAACAATCATATTAAATGAAAAATGGTGTTAAGAACCTAAATATGATTTTTGATTATCTAGACAGTGATACCCCACTCGACATATTTTGTCAACTTATTTTTTTTACTTCGTCACAATATGGCGCCTGGTTTTGCCCATATGGAATTTTGATTACTATCATATCTTTAGTAGCACTCCCATGATTGAGACGAATCGATTGATGTATTAATCATCAAAATCGGTCCAGGCGTTTGGTCTCTAGTGTGCCACAAAGGAACAAACATACATATATAGACTGTTAAACACATAACCCTGTCTGCTCGTCGCGCTTCGCGCTCTTGCATTGCGCAGCCGGGTAATAAAAATCCGGACTGTAGAGGACGGCAGTACTCTAGGATATATTCGACAATCCGATTTTACCCTACAAGTGAAAATAGTCGGATTACCACAAGAATACTGTACTACAGTAATATACTCATCAAAAGAGTCTAAGCCACATGAACTTATTTGAACTTTTGACCAATTTTAAATATTTTAATCATTTTATATTATTTTGTTATTAATAATCAATTTGATTTATTAGTAACTGAAGCAAGGAAACCTTTGAACAAACAATACATATCATAACGATTATATAAAATATCAACGGATAAAATTTGCAGTCAGCGTAAATGATACATGTAACTTACTTTTTAACAAAACACCAATTAGCCTAGCCCCAAAGTAAGCACTGTAAGGCTTGTGTTATGGTATACTAGGGTAACCGATAGAATACATATACTGTACATATGTAAGTATATTTATATAGAAATACATCCATGACTGGAGTACAAATGCTCGTATTCATCACACAAACATCTGCAACCACCGGGATTCGAACCCGGGACCTCTAGAATCGGCGACACCATGAAACCCGGCGTACAAACCACTCAGCCACGGCGGTCAAGGTTTTATGTGTGATGTAGTATCATCGTTAAGGTATTGTCCTAATTGGCAACGATCGTACGATGACACGATGCGATCTCATCGTAGGATGAGTTCGAACATAAAGATTTCTTCAGAAGTGTCCTAATACAGCTCGTAAGCCATCATACAAGCACAGGTACATTATTTTCATCGCACCATGTGATCGTATAGTGTCAACGTACGATCGTTGCCAATTAGGACGACGCCGAGGTTTAATGGATTTCGGTGATAATCAAGTTACTATAATAGTAAAAGTGCTAGTACTACTTATGTATTCGAGCTCCGTCCATTTTAAGATTAAACGACTTATAATTATAATTCTGAAGAATGGTTTCTTTTGGACAATTTTCAATTAAGCGAAAGCGAAGAGTGCGGGTTCGAGTCCCGTCTGCTGTCTGGTAAATATTCCAGATTCTTCTTAAAGAATTTCAATATTCCGTTAATATCGGCGATATAAAGTGCTTATGTAATTCTGTACAAGTGATAGTTTTAATTTCAATTTCAAGTTTAGGCATCCAAAATATTAATGTTAACGCGGCGTCAGTGAATTAAACTAAACTAGTCAAGCACAACTTGTAGGCAGACAATTTTTCTGTACCATTGAACAAAATTAAAAACTAAATTGCGAACAAATCATAGTAGATAGAAGAATAGTTTTAATAAATTATCCATATTTGACATTATATCGGCAAACAAAGTACACATTCTGTTAAAGTTTCGACTGTCCACTAACGGAAGACCAGCGCTGATGGCAACATCAGCACCATGCTGAGTTGGGGCAGATTTGAGACAAAAAATATGCGTATGTTTTGTTTATATATTCTGTTACTGTTGTTTTGTCTCAAATAAAATTATTTTTCTTTCTTTCTTACTTACTATAATTACGGCTTGCGGAGACGAGGAACTTTTGTCCGAGGACTTTTTGTTTGCCAGTTACACCATGCAGTTATAAGCGATAAATTTTGGCGGACAAAAAATCCGCAGATCAAATGTCCCTCGTCTGCGCAGGCCATAAATTGTAATTAAAATACAACCCGCTGACAGACTGACGGACGTACAACGAAGGGTTAATAAGAAAGTTCCATTGTCACCATTTTGGGCAAGGAATCCTTAAAAAACAGATTTCATAAAAGTCGCCCATTAAATTATAAGAACTGGCGGCTCGTAAAAATTTAAGTAGCTCGTTCTACATTTTATTTTATGGAAGCTCGGAGATGAAAACGGTCTTTAGGTGATGACCGTTTTCATCTCCGTGTTTCATGTTCTTACGAAGATAAATGAGAATCGAATTGTCCTCATGATGACGATATGAAAGGAGCAGTAAGGTCGAATTTCAATAAAGACTTCATAAGTAAGAGGAGATTTCATTTTATCGTCTTTCACTTTCACGCTAGATCAGACCCGAGATTGCCGATCTTAATTTCATTCTCAGATTAACGCCAGGCCTTAAAACAAATTTAATATTAGTATGTATTAAGTAAAAGTTGTGCCGTATACATACTTATATACTCGGGTAATGAATACAATGGGAAAATATCTGTTTTTCTCATATCTTGATGGTATTCTTATTACCTTTATTATTTATCATTCCTCGCATAACTTATGCAATTTAATGAAACATAAATAAATACATATGACATCAAACAACAATATCTTAGCCACACGAAAATATGTGGTATTGAGTGGATTTGAATTTTCAGGATAAGAAATAGTTATTTATGATACAAGTGCGGTAAGTTGGTTATTACAAACAAGTAGACGAACGTAAGTTACTTACCATAGAAACGAGTTTGTAAATACCAATCTGCACGAATATCATACAACGTTGTCCCTATGATCATCCATCAATCCCCACTATTACCCACTAATCCCTTATTATCACCCACCAATACCCTTATCACCCTCGAATCCCTTTTCACCCTCGAATCCCCATTACACCTTTCAATCCCCTTATCACCTTCAAATCCTTTTTCACGCTCGTATCCCTTTTCA